CCCCACCCCGGGGACATATCAATTGGCCTGCGGTGGGCGTGGCCAGTTTGAGGAGGAACATTCATGTCAAATGCAAGTCTGGCCCCGTTCTGGGTGCCACATGTTGAAAATTGATTGAATATGAAATTAGTTTGTGCAACTAAGAAAATATTGGTTCGCCGAAACACAAATTAATTTGGGCACAAACCGATCCAATCAGCGAAACGCCCGGCATACCCTTTACAATTAGCGGCTAACCGAGAGCCAAAAAAAGGGAACAATCCGAATAATCACAACGAAATGTATACGAGTGTCTGAGGGCAGCAATAAAATTAAACATAATTACAACAATGTGCCCTCAGAGCCAATACTCGTAATGGGAGGCAGACAGGGAAAAGGCAGATACATTTGTGAATCGAAATAGAAGATACTCTGCCAGAGACATAGGTCGTGCAGGGTTGAATATACAAGGAACTGCTCTCCAAGACTCCTCAAGACACTTCTATAAACGACCTTCCAATGAATGGTGGAGCATCTGCAGTGGCGCTGTCTTTGCATGGCAAACATTTTCTCAATATCGTAATACCTTCTGAGAGAGTATGAAAAACACTAGCAATACTCGAACGAACACATGCAAACATGTTATAATTTGCTGGGCAGTATGGAAAATATTCTCGTTAACTCCCGCATGGAAATGGGCGTTTGCCCGTAGAGGACTACGATATTGTGAATCGCTGGCAAAAACTAAACTACAAATATAAACCAAACACACACACACACAGACGCATGTGTATTGGACATTTACTATGTACAATAGATGAGCATAGAGCCGGGAAGGGGGAGAGGGGAGAGGGGAAAGGGCCAAACGTGGCTTTTTATTAGCAAAAGCTGCTTGTTCGAAGAGTACGTGCCTCGAATTAGTTTTTTGCGATTTGAATAGAATTGTTTTGAATAAATTTGAATGCCACATGCAAGCTTACGCCACACCCCCCCTCGCCCACTCGTACGAACGAGTGCCTGCAATGGGCGCTAATAAATAGGCATCGGTTACCACTGTGGACTGTGTGCAGCCGACATTCGATTATTCCTGCAGGCAGTATTATAATTAAACAATTCCATAGACCAGTCAATAGACAGCAAAATGCGAAACATTGTGTAATGAGGCGCCATGGGGTGTGCCGTTGACGATTGAAATGATTTGAATGCCACTGAAGGATGTGTCAATGATGTCCTGGCTTCATGGTTAATGGAATGGAGTAAATAATTATAGTAATTTGTAATTTCAGACATTCTACAGAAGCGTGTCCATCCATCCACTAATTACATTAAACGACCATTACATGGTTTATTTTTAAAACTATTATTTTCTTATCCCCGTCATAGGGCACAATATTTATTTTAATTATTCCATTTAATTAACTTTTGCAGTGCAATTACATTATTTATTATTTTTCAATTAGAGTCAAAATCAGGCGAAACAAATTTAAATGCCAAACAATTAACTAAATCAAAATTAGTTGCTGTCCATTATAATTTTAGTTGGCCCTAATCGGGCACGAGGGGGCCAAAGGTCAAGGCAACAGCGAGTGGAGACATAAAAGCCGCCCATAAAATATAGTACACCCGTAAAATCGGAGCGGAGAGAGGGCTCTGGCACAATACACTCGTAAATCTATACGTGTGTGTGTGTGTGTGTGGGTGTGTGTGCGCCTCGGTGTTTAGGTGCACGTTAACAAGCCAAGAGCTTGTATAATATTTTCTAATTTCTCAATTTCCCACACATTGACATCCGGAACTAATAAAAATAAATCGCACTTTGATATCCGCTACGCTCCGCACTTTGTTTCGTTCATTTAGCTCCTGGTTTCGTTTCGTTTTGTTGCACTCTATAAGAGGGTACTCTGATTACAGCAAGATGTTTGCAGAAGAAAACCAAATCGATTCTTTAGGGTGTATATACCTAATGATCTGCCACAGTATTGTGCACTTTTTCGCCGAATAATGTCTTATAGAAGCATTAACTGAATATGCGAATGGACTGAAGGAATAGGTTTGAGTCTGGATTTTTTCATTGGTTCTAGTGGTGCCTTAATTTCCTGTAGTAGCACTTTTCCATTATTAGATTCATGTTTGACTTTGAGCGCCTGAAAACGGGCCCATAGCATAGTCCATAGCACCAATAAGCACTTTCGGATGAGCGGAATATTCTAAATTACAACATAAGCTAAGCGGAATGGCAGCTCGTGAAGAACTGAGTGCTGAACCCAAGGCAAACCGTCTTGAACAATATTATAATCCAGTTGAAATCGCCACAATGGGATTTCAACATTAAATAAATCGTTTTCAATCAAGCTGTAACCTTTATATACCACACAACTAATCTAAGTTTGATTGCAAATACTGATTGTACATTTTTCAACAAAATATAATCTAGGGTATCCACAGTTTCGGCTCTTCTCAACCGTTTTCTCTACGACTTTGTTTTACTTTTTGGTTCTCTCTTTTCAATAATCGTAATACCCACACTCGTACATAAACCCGCAATCGCATACCCCAATACACACACTCCTGTGTGTGTGTGTGTGTGTGTGGAGCTGTATCGGCTGTCAGTGTCCTGCCCCACTAACATTTTTATATCATTTTTAGTATTTCTTTTTCATTGTTTTTCCGCCCGCCCCTAGAATTTTTCCTTTTTTTTTTTTGGTCTCACGAGTTAGCGCCAACAATAAATAAATACGCTTACATTTTCACACACACACACACACACACAGAGCCCATAGTCCAAACACAGATGGAAGTAACAGGAAATTTATAGAGCTGACCGGATGTGCGTCTCTCTGGTGACACACGGAACGAGATACGATACCAGAAATGCCAGTGTTTGCCAGGCGATATGGAATAGTTGGAGAGCAAGCCTCATAGCTGGTGAGCACTGTATATATTACAGTTTATGTGCAGGCATTTATGTCTCTCTGTGTGTGCCTGTGTGTGAGTGTGTGTGTCTCTATTACAAATACAAATAACAGCAAAATGACCAACTAAATAAATAGTTTTGTAACCACACAGAGACAGAGAGACACAGAGACAGGCGGAACAGGCAAACAGCACTACGAGCAGATCCAAACATGGCCCCATCCTTCGAGGACCTTCTAGGGGGGGGCACCCAATGCCCAATTAGATTGTGAGCGGATAATACGAGTATTTGCAGTAAATTAAAGGCGATAGTTTGCGTAATTATAAGCGGTACTTTCTGGGGGAAATAAACTATAGATTAGTCCACGAATTGGGGAAAAAGTTCATCTGGATATGTCCAAGATGCAGTGAAGGAAGTGTTAAGTATCTCTCTTCCCCCTTCGACCAATAATTGCAGCCCACCTGCACCGACAAGACAAGAAGAGACTTTTAATGATATTTCGGATACATTTTAGGACCGAAATGAACCCCAGAGTGCGTGCAAATTATCTGCAACGATTGTCTATCCGACGAATTAGAATCCCTTTGATCGATAATTACATTGCACCTGGACAATTTGCACCTTCTCGAGTGTCCCTGCTCCGCCCTTGGCTCGACTACTCCCCCAATCAATTGTTCCAATCGAGCACTTGGGGCTCCCTTGGGTGGCGATTCCACTTGAAAATAGAGACAACTCTGCTTTTCTGCTTATTTCCTGCAGGTCCTTGCGCTGCTCCTGCTGCTGACGCTCGTAAATCCTGCCAGAGGAATGGTATATATATCACCAGCTATACAATATAAGGGACTCTGGCCAAGACGAGCCAAGGCAAGCGTATTATTGCTTTCTTTTCTATTTTTTATTCTTTTTTTCCTGCTTGTGGTTGCAGCACAATAAACTTGCTCGAGTTGATGATGAGGAGCAAAACAGTTTCTGGTTTAGGTACAGATACTCGTATCTCGTATCTGCTCGTGTGTATGTATCTTTCTGTTCTGCAACAGGATGGAGCAGGTCAGCAAATGCAACAAAGCTGCTTATCGTTTAACGCTCTGTGTAATGCGTTTAAACTTGATGATTGATTCTGGGCCAACACCCACCAGCCACCGAGACACCCAGCCACCGAGCCCCCATATCAACCGCCTCTTTTCGTGGCAGGGGGGAGGGCAGGGCTCCCCCCATTAGCTGCAACTAAGTGCAGATACAGATAGAAGCTGAACAAAAGTTTCTTGGTCAAACTTTAAGGGGGGAGGGGGGGACATGTCCAGGACTCGGTCTATACGTTCCAGCCTAGGCTTAACTATGGGGAATCCTTCTCTCCGGGTCCTGGAACCCGCTGCTGGCGCCATTGTTCCATTCATTTTATGTTGTTGCCTGCGTTTTATTGACTGAAGTGTGGCCCGCTATGGCGATGGCGATGGCGATGGCGGCCATTGTGCCCTAAACTAAAACAAAGTACTGTTAGAAGCACTTTCTCTCCCTGTCTCGCAGTGTCAGTGTGTGTGTGTGTGTGTGCCTGTGTGTGTACTAGTTATAGCCCGTTATATGCGTGCGTGTTACTGCGCAAAGATGCGCCATAAATTTCGCGCGTTTTCGCCTTCAATTTTTTTCGTTTGACTTTTAGTTTGGTTTAAACTCCTGGAAAGGATATACTATATATGTACTCCTAACCCATGATTTTTACTCTATACCCACCCGATCAGTTCTAGGGATATTCGACACCCTACAAAGTCGGATAACACCATCAAAGACCCCCCTATAAACTCTATATTTATCTTCAAGGGTATCCACATATTCGTATCCCTTGAACAAGTCTCCTCTTGTCGTTTTTTGTTTCGTATTTTTTTTACGAGAATGGCACAATTATTTTTGTTGCTTCTATTTTTTTTTTTTTGCACTATGTGTGGCAATCTTTTTCTAAATTTAATGACTTTGGCAGCTCTTTGCCAGTAAATCAAATTGTTATTGCCCGCTCTCTTGCTTTTTGTCACTTAAATTAATTTTATGGTGTCTGGGATGGCAAGTGTTTGGTCTGTGGGGCCTCCCATGGATGGGAAAAGGGCAAAAAACTTACCAGTCTCTTCTTCGGCTGATCCCCAGTCCAACTAATTAGCTGAAAGGAACTGCCACGGTGCACTGAGTAAACTCCGAATGGGTCCGAGGGGGGCAGATATTGGACTTCCGAATGCTGGAGGCTGGAGGACCACCTCCGGGACTTCCTTCGGCCGGGAGCTCTGGAGGAAAAGGCGAAAAAGTCATAAATTTGTATCATTAATGCAGGCACAAAAAGCTGTTGAGCTGTGAACTGCATGGCCCGACAGTGGTGGCCCTTTCCTTCAGTGGGAATTTCCGTGTTCTCAAAGAAAATTTCGATTGAATTTCTGCATGGGAATTGGCAGAAGTGGAAGAGAACTTAAGGCGATTGATTGATCTATGGTTCCTTCTATTAACATCTTAAAAATATAGAACAAATATACTTATCAGAATTGTGTGAGGACTCCAGCGGAATACCTTTTTGGGTGAGCACTTCCGTAGAGCGAAATTTATGACTCGATGCTGTAGTCAAATATTTTGTCCACGCACTCAAGTGCCGCACAGCCACAGCCAGAGGCAGGGACAGAGCCAGAGCCCGTGGCGATGACGATGGCGATGGCGAGTGGCAAGTGAGACTTTTGTTTGCATATTTTTTGGCATAGCACTTAACGCCCGTCGCCGAATCGTTGAGCTGACCACAATGCCCAGGTTCAACATGGGGTAGCCCCATGCCGGGCCGTGCCACACCACAGCACCCAGACCAGACTCCACATCGGATCTCGGTTCGGAAAGGAAGGCTTATCCCCGGCCTATGGTCGGTCCGGTTGGCACTTTATGTACTTGCATTTTCCCATTTTCCCATTTTCCCATTTCCACATTTAAAACGCGGCATTTTCCTCTTTGGTTTCTGTTTTTTGTTTATGTTGGTTTTCCATTTTTCCCATTTCCATGCCATCGTGACGATGACGGGGGCTCAGGTAGCGTTAACACTTGTTTAAAAATTTGTTATTGGATTTCTTTTGTTCCCATCGTTTATTTATTGTGGCACTCGGCGACAGGGAAGGGGCAAGGGGCATGGGCAGGGCCATGACAATGGCCATTGGATCGGGATGAGACTGGTCGGCAGAGCCGGCAGAGCCTGGACAGCCTGGAGAGGAGATGCCTGACAAGTTGGCCTCATGTAGGTCAGGCAGGACCCAGTCCTTGCCGCGGGCCTGCCCCTCCTCTACCCTCCTTTTGTGGCAGCTGATTGGGCGGGAGCGCTTTTGTCACTTTGCATTGGCTTTATCGGATTGCACGTAATATTTCTGACAAATTGAATACAATTGCGCTTAAGCTGAAAAGCGCATTAACCAAATTGGATATCAACGTATCGTATCGCCGGGCTATCAAAATTAATTTAAACCGGCATATGCGAGGTAAAAATCGCAACAAAATGAACAGTCGCTTTGATTCGACGGACAGGGTGGGGCAAGGGTGGAGCTCTTCAGAGGAGGAATCGCCATAAACAACATAATTATAATTCCTATAAATGGGTGCATTAAATATGGTTAATTTATTGACTTTTGTTTCTTAAATTCCAATGGAAAAACTTGGGTTTCCCCATCCAAGATTACTTTAGCAAATGTCTGTCCTTTGTCGTTTGTTGCCAGCAATAAAATATTCCATAACTCACCTTTTTGTATGCGAGTATTAATATAATTAGCTTTCCAACAAGTTGGCTCTCCCCTCCACCTTTCGCTCCCCCTGCTCTTTCGCTTTCTCTTTCCCTAATTGAAACGACAAAACTTCCCACTTTAGCCTCGTTTCTTGTCTCTTTGCTCACATGCGAGGAAATTGGCCTGGCTGGCCAGCAAGTAAATTAAGTTAATTAGAACCGAATGAAATATGAGAAAAGTTGCCATTCAAATGCGGCCAAAGACAAGTCCGGGACCCCGGGCCGGGGCGCATTATGTTTTCGGGGAATTACAGGTTTTACACGGGCACGTTTTACACTTCAACAACATTTCCGCTTGTTAAATTCTCTGGCCATTACAATTGCGTAAAATGATTTTGTTGTTGTTTAAATTAAAGGCCACCGCCGGGGCCCCCGGCCAGGTCTGTGGCTCCTGGCTCCTGGCTACTGGCCTCGTCCTGGCTCTTTCTGCGGCTTCCAGTCGGATTTGTCTGCCAGTCTGTTCCCGTTCCTGTTCCCCGGCCTCCTCGTGGCACCCACAACAACGGGCGGCGCCGCCGTGAACAGCTGCGCGTAATTTTAATGAGAATATTCATTCGTGCCCGCAATTGAGACAAGCATAGAGCGGAGAGTCACGTGGCCACGACGGTTGCTTGGTTGGCTTGGCCTGGCCTGGCCTGGCCCTGACCGAGCGCCGGCAGCGGAGTTGGTGAAAGATTGGCCAACACATTTACCGGCAGGCAGCACTTAATGTAATGTAATTTTATGCTCTCGGTTAATTATTCAGCAAATTTGCAGCACGCTCTTTCCCCGAATGGTTAATATCAGTTTACCAAACACTTTGATGTCGCACTGCCGAAACAGATTTTCAAAGCATTTTGTACAGAGCGGAGATCCCCCTATGCCCTGGCTGGCTCCTGGCTCCTGGCTTCTGGTTTTTGGGTGCAAATTAGGGAAAACGCAATTCAATTAGTTGAATTTCCCAAGTATGTTTCCTCCAAGAATTTATCAGGCCATCGGCTGCTGGCGGGGGGGAGGCGTGAGGCGGCTGTAAGTGAGCACTTAATTCCATCTTCTTCTCGGTGATTTTTCTTTTGTCACTTTATCCATTCAATTTCGAACACATTGCGAAATTCCGCATTAAAAATTAGCCTCATTTTCGTGCCCTGCCCTGCCATCCGGCCATTAGGGAAATGTCACGACCAAATTTTAGACCGCTTTGATTCTGGTTTCGCATTTGATCTCAAGGCATAATTTGAGTTTGCTTTGCCGCCTCTCAGCCCCCCCTCATGTCTGTCTTAAGTGGAGCTTTATCTATTTTTAGGGACTTTTTTTTCTTTGCTGCCAAAATCAATTGATGATGAAAAGAGGGCTACAGACATGCATATATATATATATATGATGCTGCGGCAGAAAGCAATTTATGAATTTCCCTTTGAGCTACATTACCCCCCCCACCCCCTTCTGTTCATCGCCTTTGTAGGACGGCAGACTCTTAAAAACTGCTCCAAGTGCGTCTCCATTTCTTCTCCGGCTTGTGGTTTTTGGTTGCATTACAAAGAGGTAAAGACCATCCTTTGTCCTGGAAATAATTTAAGGCCTGGCCGGAAATAAATGGCAGGTGCGTGGCGTTACATAAAAAAAGGAAATAAAAAAGGAAAAACAAGAAAATCTGCATTAACCGAAAAGGCATTTAGACACGCCCACTCTGGGCGGGGGGGCAGGGGCTGTGGTTGGGGCTGCTTTGGGCTGCAAAAATTAAAAGCAAATTTCCGACACTCGAGAGGCTGGCCTCCTCCTCTGCGTTTTGCTCTCTCTTTCTCTCCCTATCTAGCTTCCCTTTCACTCTCTGTCGCCCCGTCCTGTTCTGGCAGTTTTACGAGCCGGCTTTAAAATCACGTTAATGATATTTACAGCGGCGGTCGTGAGAACTGAGCTGAAAATTCGTAACTGGAACGCCAGACCCACTCTCGGCCTTTGACCAACGCCTCGTCCTGGCCGAGACGCTTCCGTTTTGGCCCTGGCACCCGCCCCGCCTCTGCCCCTGGCCCAGAGTGTGGACTGTGTGAATTTCCCGGTGTTGGCCAGCTCTACTCATTTGCATAACAAAGTCCAACACCCACCCACTCTCTCCCTCCACACACACACACACACACACACCTCTGGTATTTACAACATTTAAATTAGACATTAAATTTGAAAGATGGGCTGCCAGGGAACTTGGCCCATTTCGTCCTCAGGTGTGTTCGTTTATGCGAGATTTGGCCCAACAATCTTCGCTTCCTGTTTTTTGTGCGCTAGATTTTCTGCCAAATTTATTTAAGCTGCAGATAATTTTCGGTTGCTCCTCTTGATTTACTTATTTACTTTACTTTTACTTTTATGGCCCTCAAATGACATTTTTCTGGAGCCGCAGTCTCCTCTTTGTTTGGCTTGTTGTCGGGGTGTGTTTTCCTCGGTCGGGGGCGACTCGGCGATAAGCGTAATGCCCTCGGTGCCAGACCAGTCTATGCATTAAGTTATGGCCAATTACACAGAAAATAGCCAACAGAAACGGGAGTCAGCAAGTTCCACAATCGTAAATATCTTCACAGTGTTTCACTTAGTTTAGTGCGAACGTATTTTATCGCGATTTATGTGTATTGGATTGTAATTGCTTTTTGTGTATCGATGTTTAAGGAATTTTGAGGCATACGAGGTCGAGAATTGAACCAATCCACAGAGATTCGGTACAAAGGACCTTAGGAAGAGTTCCAGAGAAAGAAAAACATTTCGGAGGGGGATTCACAAATGTTTCACTAACGTTTTGCCGCATGGCCAACTATTTGTTACACGTTTGAGTCTTATATAAGTGCTAATGAGTCTAGTTTTGTGAAAGAAGCTGTAATAGATAAGTAATATGCACCAAAGAACCCTCTCTAATCATAAGAAATAGCGTACAACAAGCGGGTGCCTTGTGAGCCGCGGCAAGGGCAGCGGCTCTACTCTGATACCCACTAATCAGGTCGTACGAGTTCGTGTATATAGAGTATGTAATCTGACGACTTATATAGCCTATACCTTCTATTTAATGCGTAAATATTTCGCTCACCTCCTCTATGGGGCGCACACTGGACGAGGAAGAGTTCGGTAGAGCTCGTGGAAGCGGTTCCGTAGCCCCCACCATTTCATATCTTCATTCACTTTTCACAGTGTGATATCACAGGGTCTGGACCCAAAATTTGGTTGTTCTACTTCTCAAAGTCTCTGAAATCGAGGCCCTCATGAAGCCTCATCGTCTCGGCCTTTGATGCTGATCCAGAAGATACACACTTTATTGGGTCGAAAACGCTTCCTTCCGTATGTTGCACACATCCACAAATCTAATCTAGGAATATATGTAAGTAGCCCCTGGCACTCCCGTCACTCCTGAAAATTCCCTAATAAAAAACTCAAGTTACCCTCAGACAAGACCAAGTCTCATCATCATTACTCGTACTTCTTGTTGAGATTAAAGATTTCAAGCCACATTGGGGCAGAA